CCCCAAAACCCCAAAACCCCAAAACCCCATCCCCAAAACCCCAAAACCCCAAAACCCCATATATCATAAAAATTATTGAATAATTTAGCAAAATGAAGAAGAAAGTCTACACCATGGAAGAGATTATGTCCAAGAAGCGATATACAGGAGTTCGGGAACCACCTCGAAGCGGTACTTTCCCCTTAATCATTTAGGTCTAAAGCCTTCAGCTTCTAGCTTCGAGCCTAGGAGCAAGAGCTCAATTCGGGAGCCTTCCTACCTTCAAGAGCCTCGGCTAATGGACCAAGAGAGTAATGTGTACATAAAAGGAATGAAGAAGGGTAATAATAATATATTGGTCTCTGTTAGAACGAGACCTGTCAATAAATAAGGAAAAACGATGGGCTAAAGAAAAAGGAGTCGCCGAAAAATGAGTCAAAGTCATCGATGATAATATAATTATGATAAAAGACATCTCTGGCTATAAACCTGAGGAAGCTTTCAGAGGATACCGAGAAAAAGAAAAATCATACGCCTTTGATTATGCATTTAACCAAGATATTGAGCAGGAGGAGATTTTCCAGAAGACTACGAAGTTCTTGATCGAAGGTGTTATGACAGGATTTAATGCAACTGTCTTTGCTTATGGAGCAACTGGAGCTGGTAAAACTTATACCATGATGGGTGAAGAATATAACGATGGAGTCATGCTTCTGTCAATCCAGGAGCTATTTGACCAGATTATGTCTGTCAGTACTGACAAAGATTACCAACTTAAAATATCCTACATTGAAGTGTATAATGAGAATATTAAGGATTTACTAAATGGAAAATAACAAGAACCTTGATCTGAGGGAAGATCCTGCTCGAGGCATCACAGTTGCAGGTGTAACAGAAATAATGACAACCAATACAGAAGAAATAATGTTCCTGCTCAGAGAAGGTAACAAGTTGAGGACTCAAGAAGCTACTAACGCCAATGCTACATCTTCGAGGTCACATGCAGTTCTCCAGGTCACTGTAGAAAATAAAGATAAAGCTCATGGCACTGATTCTGATATTAATATTGGAAAGTTGTCCTTAATCGATCTTGCAGGTTCTGAGAGAGCATCAGCAACTTTGAATAGTGGGAAAAGATTAATAGAGGGAGCCAACATCAATCGATCTTTGCTTGCATTAGCTAACTGCATCAACGCTCTTTGCCAGAAGTCGGAAGTAGGCAATCAGCACATTCCATACAGAGATAGTAAGCTAACTCGAATGTTGAAAGACTCTTTGGGTGGTAATTGAAGAACAGTGATGATTGCTAATATTAGCCCAAGCTTTATGTGCTATGAAGACACTCTTAATACTCTTAAGTATGCTAACAGAGCAAAGCAGATTAAGACTGTGGTCAAGAGGAATGTCCTTAACGTCGAATATCATATTAGTAACTATAAATAATATCATCGGGAATCTGAGGTTTGAGATCACCAAATTAAAAACACAGCTGACTGATGCAAAGAAAGGTGGAAGTTTAAAGTCCCTAGATGCCAATGAAAACATATCTTTACCTTCGATCACACCTGGCGGGACTCCAAAGCTAGATCAGCATGGAGCAGACCAAAACCCAGCTCTTCAGAAGAAACAGTTAGATTTAAATCTTCATTTTGAAAAGGAGGCAATTCACAAGAAGAAGATCCTCGAGTGTGATAAAGAAAACGAAAGACTTGCTTTTGATCTCTTTGGTAAGGAAATTCAGGTTAGGAAGCTCACAAAGTACGAAGAGGCAGACCCTAACGAGATCAGTACTCTAAAATAAACAAATAATGCAGCTTAAAGCAGATATTGAGACCAACGCCCAACATAAAAGAAGTGTTCAGAAGAAACTTGACAAACTTGAAAGAGAAAGAGATGACAAACTATATGAATTTCGAAGTGAATTAGAAGAGAATGATTCAGTGAATGCAATGTACAACCAACATCTTCATAATCTCCGCGATATTGAGTTCGTGAGGAAGGAGAAACAAGCTGAGTTTCATATCAAGCAAAGAGAAATGTATATAGATAACCTGAAAGCACAGCTTGCAATGAGAGATCAGATTATTAAGGATAAGCTTGGAGCAAGTATCACAAATTTTTTGAAACAAGACATGATGACAATGCAGGATATTGAAGGAGTTAGGCAAGATGTCCTTCTCCCTTCTTTAGATATGACTCGGACTAAACAGTTTGTCTATAATACAGATGGGGAGGATAATTATAAATCCAAAGAAAGCGCAGAGATGTATAATGATGTATCTCGAATTAGAAAGAAGCAAAGAAACGTGCCTGCCACAGGGAAGAGGCAATATCCCCTGCCTAAGATTAACAACGATAGCTCAGCTTATTATAACTCAAACCAGAAAAATTTGAAGTATTCTAAGATCACAAAGCCTACGAATATTTCTGTCGGAAGAAGAGACAACTCTATTTCTAATTCCTTTGACAGAAGGTCTAAGAAACCAACAAAGCCGACTCGGTCTAATTTGGAAGGCTTAAATAATAAATCAAAGGATGGAAAGAAACCAAAATATGGCTTTGGGTACAAGCCTCCCTTGGGTAATCTTAAGGATAATTATTCTGACAACAAAAATGGAGGTGGTTTTGCAGCTCAAATGATTAAGAATCGAAATAAGTATTTCCCTAAAAACCATAATCAGAAGCTAAAACTAAATAAATCACGAAGTAGCGGGCCTGAAAAAGGATCAAAGCATGCTCCACCTTCGATATCAAATATTCGAAATAGTCAGAAGTAATAATTCTGTTAATTTAGTTTATAACCTTAATATAGCCGAGGAATGAACTCCAAATTTCTAAAAGCAGATGGGATGGAGAGTAGCTCCATTCAGGATACAGATCCTGAGCCAGAAAATAAATCAACTGCTATTAGCCACCATGCTCGGATAAAGGACAAGTTAAAACTTTTAAAGAATAACCTGCAAGTTAGAAAGTAATTATGAGATTAAGTTAAAGTTTCAACCTTAGAATAGTCATTAGGGGTTTTGGGGTTTTGGGGTTTTGGGGTTTTGGGG